CTCACACCCCCCTATCCCTTGCACGACTGAGTGACGTTATATTCTTTAATTATTTTCCCCGGTCTAACATTGATGTGCTATAAAGAAGGCAGTTCATATTTTCGATAGAAGCAAGGCGTATTTGGAATCTATTTGGTTAGGGTTTGAGACGAAAAGCTTACTATCAACTAGAGAGTTGACTATCCCGAACTTACGCGCCTCATAGCATAAATAGAAAGTACCAAATAGGCGTAAGAAGTTGAATCAGAAATTTAAATACCATTTCCCCAGTAGATAAATTGTAGAAAGACCCCCTCATATCCCCCTCTCTACAGAGTGTTACACGTCAATATCAACACTCCAAATATCGAAGCCGCCGACGTCAACATGTCAGAATCATCTTTCCACGAGCCCGAATTTCTGATAGGGTATGAGCGGCTCGTCGCAATGGCCCCATATCTGAAAACCAACGACCGGGGAAGAAAAAACAGACCGGACAGCTACGTTCAATTGGAGAAAAAGACTCCTCACCTGAATCAAACCTATTTCGAATCGCGAACTGCGGAACCATTGTCAGATCATATGCTCGACCTGTTGCGACAAAACTTGGAAACTCGATTCTATGAAGAGGCAACGATAAGAATACGCCTTAATCAAGAATTTGCAAGAGGTTGGGGATATGAATTGGAAATGGCACGCTTTTATTCAAGTCGAGAATTACCACGCGAATACTCCAAGAAGGTAGCTGGGTGGTATGGCAACAGCGCGACAAGAGATGGAACCGCATTCTTCAATAAACACACGGCAATCTACTTCATAGGCCCTAGCAAGATAGGCTGGTATGAAGATCAAAGATTAGGCCGCTATATTTTTCATCGCTGGCTTCAGATTCATAACGAACGGCCACCATTTCAGCGCCACCATTACTTTGCCCGAGCAATTACTTTCGATAAAGGAGCTGACTCACAATCGATCCAAAAGATCACATCTTTCCACCGGAGTCTCTGTGATAGGGTATCTGCTCAGGCCGATAAACTTGTCAAGATCGACCCCCCATTCGAGCACTGGCCAATCCACGACGGATCAAAGAAGTCTTGGAGGGACTACGGTTACACCTTGCAACGCTTATTCCGAGCAATCTTTATTGTCGTAGACCGCAAAGTCATGGCATATGCGAATGACGAGGACTGTCCGCAGCCTCCAGAAGAAGATAATAGACCCCAAGAAGCAATCCTCCAATGGGCCCTGGCCGAATGCACCGTACTTCTGGTCAGGACAGGAGATGATGAGCATCTAAGTTCTCCGATAGACTTCCAGCCGCTCATTAACTCGGGTGCAACTTTGGCAGTAAACCGTAAAGACGTTGGAAGTGGAATTGAAGGGGAAAGCGTTGTCCGTGTAAAGATCGACGTGGCAATGCATTTCTTCCTCGATTTGATCCACAGAGAGGAAGCGGCTATACCTAGTGTTCGCCAAGCCGCCCAGGCTCTAAAAGAAGAACAAGAGGAAGGATGCCGACAGTGGATCGACCGTGTAATGAAACACGCAGAGGAAGTCGGGATTGATGGAAACGGCTATACATGGTTTGCCATCAGACAAGTCAAGGCAAGACTCAATGGTGAAAAATTCTATAAGTATGAGGACTTCCAGTTTTGGCACCGCCTCTATGCCCATGATAGATGATATCATATAGAAGTCGCGAGTCCAATATGCGGTCGATGGCTGGACGTAAGGGGCTTATAACTCACTCAAGTTATGCCTGCTAACATCGATAGAGGGAAGGAATTCCCTAGGATGGTTGGTAACTTGCTCAAATTATATCGCTCAAATACTTTCATTTCCTCGAAGAGGAAATTTGTTCTCAAATTCCCAACTTAGAAAATTCAGAGCTCACTACATCGAAGTTGATCGTCTTGGTGCTTTGTTCAAAGATACATCTGTCGATGGCCCAGACAACCGCTTGGTAGCCAATTGATGCATCTCGAGTTGACACTGCCATACTCATCAGCCTAATCTCAGCTTCATCCTTATATTAAAATAGCGGTAAACAAGAGAGGTATCGCGAACCGGCAAGTTATAGGCAAGGTCTCAAGGCTGCTCTGTATCCCCTGAGCGGGTACTATCCAGAATAGCCGCATAATTAACAGATCAAGGACGGCAATCATCTTTGGCTTTTATGCTAGCTTCCATCGTTTTCCATGGTTGTTCTGGTTCCATGAAATTTGGTAGACTCGGCGTACGACAGGCGAGGTCTGCTAATGGGATGTTTTGATCCCCAGTGCCTACACCTTCGCCTACACGGCTAAGCCGTGAACGAAGAGGAATGTCTAGGCGAGGCCGGATATTGATGAACTTCATCAGGATAGGTTCATAATAGACAAAAGCGACTCATCCTCGACTTTCCCAAGTATCGAAACCGTCTATCGAGTTGAAGGGGGCAGTTTCAAACAGTTATTCGGCGTAGAATGATGAGGACATGGAATATAGACCCCAACCGTCGGGCTGTCATGGACGGGGATATATAGCAGAGGGAAGGAAGCCGACCACATCCATCTCACTGAGTTGATGAGAGGCAACGAACATACACCGGAGCTTTTTATCTCCGAACTCCTAAGGCAGCCATAAACTCGGGGTAGTACGGGCAGGAGCATTGTCCCTAGGGAGCCCGCAAAGTATCAAAAGGGCTTTATGTTCTTCTAGGGAGTCTGCGTGGATAGGGGATTCCACTAAATTTCGACCTATATTCTTCATGCATCATCACTCATCCCCCCTGCATCTTAGATAATTCCATGTAGAAATGGTCCGTCATTGTTAAGCTGCAAAATATAATATATGCATTTGTAACGTTGTATGGCCGGCTACATTATGATGTGATCAAAATGGAGGGGCTTCCAAATCTCGATCAGCCTTAGTAGCGGCCTCGGTCACTTATTCTTTGGGAATTAGGAGTTAAATAGTATTCGTATTTCACTCTGTAAGATTGATGTTCTCTGCCGACAATTCGGTGGTTGCGTGCTCCCGGCGATCTTGAACGTCTCCAAGTTGCACCCTTCTCCTTGCGTCGATATACATCATGTATTCTTGGTATGTATCTGAATTATTGCAAGTTAGTAGCTGCGTAGGTGATTAAATAAATTTGTGTGTGTGTGTGTGTTTTTTTTTTTTTTTTTTTTTTTTTTTTTTAGGGAGGGAAATTATTATAATGAACATGAAAAATAACAATAAAATAGAGGTCGCGAGTAACAATAGAAGAATAAGAAGCAAAACTTACGAGGCAAGACCTTAACATCCTTCGGCACCAAGAAAGTGTAGTTAAACTGGCCCGTCGGTTTCGCGTTCCCATGCTCGACATCTCGAACCTTACTATCTACTCTAACATGCAACCTCGTCATCGGATTGTTCGAGTCCTTCTGTTGCGGCTCGCTGCCATCTTCCTCTAGTAGTGGCGGGTCCGTGTACACAACGGTTGCTGTCAGATATAATACGCTACCGACGGGGACCGGATTGCGGAAGGTACACGGGTCGGCGCTGATAAATGTCGGTCTCGCATGTGCGAAACTTGCAGCACAGCAGAAGGCTAATTCGAATGTCTGCTTTAGGTGAAAGCCTCCGAATATCATGGTCTGGTGTCGATTGCGGTACTGTGGCTGCATAATCGATGCGGTCGAGAGCTGCGTCCTGGACATGGAGATCACATTCGGCGGCTGCCGGAGATTATTATTAGGATCATGGTAGGCGACTTGTCTAAGCCAAATCTTGTGAATCAGGGCTGATTCAGGGTCGTTAGGCTCCGTTTCGAGAAGTGAGGTTTTTAGATCCTTTTTCTTAGCTAGGGCTTTGGCTTCGCCGGCTTTGAAGATCTGCTCTTCTTGGGGAGTGGATGCGAGGAGACGCGGTATGTTGACGGGCTTCTTGGTCGTGGGGTCTAGAGCTACCATTGTGAAAGTGCATGTCAAAAGTACGTCTTCGGGCTTACTAGGCTCGCCTTCGCCCCTGGCCCTGGCGACCTTGCATGTGATTTCTACGCTACTTCTTCCAGATGCGTATGTCACTTGTCCGCTATATTCGAGGTCACATATCTCGGTTAGCGGGTGAGCGATGGTAATACGATCGAGAGCCGCGGTGACGACGGTAACGCCGGGTCCGGTGTGTTTGTAAACAATAATGCCGGACAAAGCATCGAGGTCCATAAATACCGTACCTAGCCTATATCACATCTATCCAGTTAGTAAAGACACCTAGTAAACAGGAGAAGCGGGCCTAGGACCTTATGTGACCGGATGAGTTGATATATGTATCACTAAGCCACGGATCTCGACCCAGCGGGAGTACAACTCGGTGGTAGCTATCACTCATTTTCTTAGGCGTGAGATCGCGCTCCTGTGACTTAGCTTCATCGGTAGCGGTATTCTTCCCTTCTTGTTGAAGTCTCCATGCCTCTATCCACGGCATGGGCAAACGGTTATCCGTGAGACCGCGGAATACACCGTCGGTAAGACGAGAAGGTGTGCCGTGGAAGCATCTCTCAACATAAGAGGGAGTTCTCCTCAGAGTGCCACGTGCTTTTGATGAATCGAGTCGAGAGGCTAAGGCGGGCAATCGCCGCATAGGTATTTTGCTGCAGATCATGGTAGGGAAGCCATTGGTTGGAAGTTGGTGTTATTCTAGAATCTAGATCTGGATCAAAACAAGATGACGCAAATCAAAGTATCCATGTATTTCTTATCGCATCAAATGTGGAGATGAATCATCAACCTTAGAATTCACCTACCTACCTACCCAGGTAGATATCATGTCAAAATTGAGGTGATCATACTTCCTATTTCGTAAATCAAGTTGCAACATAACTCTATGGTTTCAACTGGAACGAGAGAGAGAAAAATAGTAACCTCAAAGACATCGACGCAGAGAAAGCAAGCACTACTAGGACATCGAAAGTCGAAAAAAATATGCAATTATGCGCCTCAGGCGGGGGTCGAACTATTTAGATGTTAATGATGATTCACAGGAAACCAGGTCAGTGACCTAGGAAGGTGTATGCACTTACCCCGCAACCTTGGGATTCCGCAATTTGATCGGATAAAAGTCCCACGCTCTAGCCAATTGAGCTACCAAGGCAGGCACATTGAATTGAGGTCAACTCCGAGGTACAACCGTGAGGGTGAATACCATTGGATGATTGCTGGGGTTTCTTTTTGTCTTATATATCAAGTCTTCCTAGCTAAGTTCTTTGAGCTTGCTTAGTGTGGGCTGCGTCTTAGATAATGTGGTTATGTAATGTGACTAGTTCGAATTTGAATAGTGGCATTGGTAAAATGTCATACAGAATTGGGTGGCTCTTTTAATAGAGTTGAGTAATTACTGTTCTAGCCCAAAGTCGTATCAAATTGTAGAAGGATTGCATGAAGTAAGAGGTAGATAAGTAGTTTCCATTAGAGGCATATAGACAATAGGCACTTTCCAAAGTGCAATCTAAAGACATTAAACCAACCATTGCTACGGGATATATCCAAGATGGAAGCAGATGATCTACCATCAGCATATTACTATCAAATAGCTTAACATACTATTGACACAGATAAGAGTTAAACACTAATAAATAGCAATAAAGCAAAGATTCTTGTATATTTGTTTTTTTATTAAATCGTGTTCCTAGGTCTATTCTATCTTGAACAGATATTTGATAGAGCTTGATGAGGCCTGTGTCTGATTCTCTCAGCTGAAGCTCAAAACTTTTTGCTGATAATAATTTGTTGCCCCACCTGCCCATTTCAAGTGGATACTATCCTAGAAAAGGTACGTAGGTACTTAGTACATCAGAGTCCAGCCACTAATGACTCCACACTGAACACACAAAACCGCACAGCCACTCTTCAAAAATTGTAGGGTTTTCAAGCCCTTCAAAAAATTTGGCGAAAGTGCGGGTTCAATGTTAGTCTAAGCCTGCTACTCTAAGGAAATTCTCGTGCCTCCAATCCGGGAATTGGAATTGAGTAGACCTGCGATCCACGACCATTCTTTCCACAACCACCGACCCTTGATCGCAATCAGTCACAATGGTTAGTATTCGTCCTCTATAGATATGCCGCCGTTATATCCATGGGCATTCCTCATTTCAAGCGAGCGATGCGCTGACATGCCAATTTACCACAGGCGATCAAGCACAACAACCAGATTCAACACAACCGTATGTCAACCAAAGCCCATTCCTCGACGATAACCGAGCGATCGCATTTAAAACAATAGACCGAATGAACTAACCAAACGATTTAGATTTCCGAAAGGATTGGCAACGACGGGTTCGAACTCACTTCAACCAGGTATGGATAAAAACGCCTATGAAATTCTATCGTCAGGATGATGAAAAACAAGATATTCTAACATTTTCATGGGAAATAGCCGACCCAGAAGATCCGCCGCCGCTCTGTCCGCGCTGCGAAGGCTGCCGCTGTCGCTCCCCGACCTGTTGACAAGCTAAGACCCGTTGTTCGATGCCCGACTATCAAGTACAACCGCCGCGTTCGTGCTGGACGTGGTTTCACTCTTACTGAGTTGAAGGTACATTTTTTTTTCGCAAATTTAACCTATGGACTACCGGACTACTTTTCTAACATTATTGTAGGAGGCCGGTATCCCTCGTCTTGTTGCCCCCACCATCGGTATTGCCGTCGACCACCGCCGCCAAAACCTCAGCGAAGAGTCTCTCGCCGCCAATGTCGCCCGCCTAAAGGCCTACAAGGCCCGATTGATCGTCTTCCCTCGCAAGGGCGCCAAGCACCCTAAGGCCGGTGACAGCAAGGACATCGACCTCAGCAACACACAGACCGTTTCCGCCGTTGGATCCGCACTCCCTATCATCCCCGTCGGTGAGGGTATCTCAGAGATTAAGAAGAGCGAGCTACCCAAGGCTATCGAGGGTGGTGCCTTCGCGAAGCTCCGCAAGGCCCGAAGCGACGCCCGACTACAAGGCGCACGGGAGAAGCGAGCTCGGGACAAGGCCGAGGCGGAGGCTAACAAGAAATAAGATGGGAGTTGAACTCAGACAGGGTCTGCACGGGAGTACGGACGGCATTATCAGGGTTCTGCTTTCGTTGTGTTGTTGGTCGGTCATGGTGGGTTGGCTTGCGGTTTCTGTGTAGCCAGGAGAGAAAAGATATCAGCCTTCTCTCGCCACACAAAAAGACCGAAGCCATTATTGCATCTTCCGGTTTGCTCTAGGTCTTTCTCAATGAAAAATGAATGGACATGATTTACGTCTTCTTTGAAGCAATGTGACGTGAGGCCGCGAAGTACCAAATGAATCAAGGGATAATACTATATTAGGTAACATAGCTAAACAAACTTTCTAGGAATTGATAGAAGAACGTATTCCAACGACCAGATCTATCAAAGTTTCTATTCTAGAGGCTTATAATAACCCTGAACTTCATCTTCTAACCACAACTGATCCTGAGATTTAGGACAAGCTGAACCGAGCCACGCACATCGGCAGTCTACTTATCCATCTTCACCTCCAACGCTTCACGCCTCATTCTTATCGTTAAGAACCATTTCCCCGCCCGTCTTCAATATACGCCCAAACGTATTTCTCGCCAAAGCAGGCAATTCGTCCGGACACCGTTTTAACAGCTCAGAAATAAGCACCAACCCGTTCTCCCGATCTACTTTCGTCATGGTCGCCGCCTTCGCCGGATCAATCTGCTGCGGTTCCAGCTGGCCTAATCCACCCAAGGCCGAAAGGTCAGGTGTAGAGTCCGGTTCTTCTGAGATGTTTTCCTGGCCGGGCGTATCTTGGTCTTGGGTTTCTGGTACCTTTTCCCCGGTAATAGTTTCCACGAGCACGTTTACGATCTCAGGCTTTTGCTCCAAGAACCGGCCTACGATACTAGCACCGGAAGTAGACCGCGCCATCAGCGCGAGCACGAACCATAGTTCCGATCGGAGGACGGGGAATTTGGTTTGGAGTCCGAGATAGAGAAGTGTGTCGGCGAGAGCGGGGTGTGCGTCGTAGAACTTATCTAGCTGGGCTTGTGATAGAGATATGGTTTCTTCCTCAGAAAGAGTTTCTGTATCAGAAGGGGGAAGCAGCGCAGAGCCTACCGGCACGGAGGAATATAGAACTCGGCAGATGTTGGCTATAGCGCGCGCCGTCTCCATCTCTATCGGGTCTTGGTCCGCCTTGCGGTGCAGCTCTATTAGTTCGTGGAGTGGCGTCCGCTGCTCTTGCGTTTCTGTGGTCGGGGAAGAGGGTAGGCACACGCGACGCACGTTAGGTGCGCAGTTCACGAGGAGAAGGCGTGTGAGCGAAACACCGTCGAATTGGATCTGCGGCTGCGTGTCCATGGCCCAGGTCCGCGGGAGCAGGGCCGCGTCTAGGATACCGGCGGAGCCTAGTACGGGTTTGTTGGTGGCGGGGATGGATAGATTCTTTAAAAAGCTGAGCGTAGAGTGGAGGAGTTGGAGATCGGGAGTTGAGGAATCGGTGTCAGAGGGCGAGATAATGACGATTAGTGGCTTGTGGATGGATAAATCCTGTACTAGGGCGATGCTCGAGGCATCGGAGCGGGCGAGGTTACCGAGTGCGAGACAAGCTGCTGTTTGTAGTTGCACGTGTTGAGATGGGGAGAGCCATTTGAGCAAAGAGTTTGCTAGAGGACCGTCTAGGGGACAGAGAGATACGAAGAGAGGGTTTGCGGATAGATCAGCCAGGGTCTGAGTGTATGTGGCTTGCAGCTGGTTGAGTTGTGCTCTTTCTTCGGCATCTTCAGTTTCAAAAATACGAGGGCCTTCGATGGCTATCTGGAAGGCTGCGAGAAACACACTAATGGAGTCTGGGGTTTCAAGGAAGCTCTCTTGGAAGTTCTGGTGGGAGAGGTATGTTAATGCGGCAGTAGACAGTCCTACAAAGCTTTCCAGGTCCGCAGATTCCGGGTTGGAGGCTTCTAAAGTGGCGCGAGATAAGAGAACATGGGGCGCTTGTGGAACGAATAAATCGGGCTCGGTATCTTGGATTCCGTTAGCATCAAACTGTTTGAGGTACGTGATCTTAAATGAGGAATGAGTTTACCTTGCGCTGCTACAAGACCTGCTAGTTTATATAAATACGCCGACGCCCTATCCTGTAGCTCCGGGTTAATAAGGAAGTCAATTATGGCTTTGGTCAAATTTGCTTTGGATACCGCTATCTGAGCAGGCTCTAGTTTATGGCTTGTCAGAAAAGTACATCCATATTTGCGAGTCGATTGGTCATCCTTACCGTAATCTACACAGATATTATATAAAACTGGAATAGCGAACTGCATTAAAGTGTGGTGGTTTAACAAGTTGACGAGTTCAGGAAGACGACCCGAGTCAATAACTCTTTGCCGGTTCTCATCTATATCTAGTAAGTATAGGGGAACCGGGCTGGACTCGAAATTGAAGATGCGGACCTTGGTCTGCACAAGTATTCCCTATGATACGAAGTGCAAATGCTATGAGATCCGGGTCCAAGCTATCGCCTTTCAGGAGGTCGAGGAAAATATCTAGCAGGCCAGATTTTCCTAGAGGTATTCTCCATGAAACTAATAAAAAGGGGTCAGCTAGAGGCCTCTTAACCATCATCAGGTGAATACTATCATATAAGTATATAGCATTCTTCAAGAACCGGGTCGGCGAGCCCAAAATTATAAGATAAGAGGTCGTTCACCTTCTCGACTTCCAATGGCGATCTTTTCTGCTAAGATCTGGAGTTCTGGGGATTTCGCTTCCTTCAGTTTTTGGGCATCATCGAAGACTGGTTTCAATGCTTGTATCCCCAATTCTTCGTCTTCGGGAATGTCCTTAAAGAGGACTTGTATTTGATCAGGCGTCATGATCTACGGTCCATCCCAAATCGGTAGGTTCGAGTATGGTTTTTAAAGCCACAGGGACAACCGTCGTGAGAAGAAATGACTCCGCCTTGGCTAGAAATGTGTGACGAGATTTATTACATAAGTGAACGAGTATATGATCCTTCGGATTCACGGCAGTGATGATGGCGATGGATGTGTTGGCGCCTGCCAGCTCGAGATTCGTTTAATGACAAATGATTGGATGCCCGACCTCGGGAAGGGTCCCCGACGAATGGTGCTTCCACT